TGTTGGACATTGTATGCATTGCTATTATTATGGAGTAAAAACCTGTTACAAGCTGGCATGTGTTGAGACAGAAGGAGTATTACAGGTTTTCTCTGTGTACTTTTTGTTTCCTGCATTGACCATCAACATTTTATCATGGTGTCGTAAGTTGAAGGCTGTTCCTTATTTGTTCTTTGAGCCCGTGGTGAAACAAAAGCTTGTGTAATTTTTTAAGGAAGACTCAGAGAGAGGGAAGACCTTCATTCACTCTCTAGTCCAATCTTTTTGTTAGTTTTAGAGTCGCTTGAGGCCTTACTATTACTATGACCAACCAGTGTTACTGAAAACCTGCACAGAACCTGCTGAGTGCAAACTCTAAGAAAGACATGGTGGTTTGGGCTTGATAAGCTTGGTTTAAGTTACGGTTCTACGTCTTGTGAGCTCTGTGATTTTAAGCACACTACATAACCTTCCTTAGCCTCAGGATCCTCATCTATGAGGCCAGGTTAATAAATACCTCAGTGTGTGGTATGAGAATCAAGGTGGTCGTGCTAGTGACAGTGCTAGCAAATGAAAGTACTCTCCCCTCTTCTGCTTTCCTCACCCCATTGCCCCTGTCCTCACCGTCATCCCTTTTCTCCCTCTATGCAGAGAATCTTGCTGGTTTCAGGGATACAGAGGTTCCAGAGTTAGGAGGTAGGACCTTCTTTTAAGAGATAAGTAACCACATGGTAGGGGTAGTAAGAGCCATTCAAGTCCTAAGAAGAGATTGTTAGGACAATGGAGGGGTAGAAAGGCTGAAAGGAGCTAAGGGGAGAGACCAGAAGTATCTATGGGGGTCTTTCCCATGCCACTGGTCTCTAAGAATTCATGGAAGGAATTGGCATGTGGAACCTAGGGGACAGGAAGTGGCGGATGGTAAGGGGACTCCCTTGTGAATTCCAATCTTCTCCATCTTCTCTTAGCTTCCCCCTTCCTGGAGCCTTTACTTGTGTACTTCTATCTACACAGTCTTCTTGAATCGCTAAAGCTCCACAATCTAAATTCTACATATTTATTGAAGAAGTTATGAACAATTCCCAGTATGTCTGTGGTCTCTGCATCAGTGCGTGTGGACACTCCCTTCACTTCTGTCTGTGGTTGAGCCGTGTTCCTAGCGAGGGGCAGCACCTCCACCTGTGTTCCACCCACCCCATCTCACCTACTCAAGGGCATGGCTCCAGCATGTTTCTCTTGTCTTTCCTGCAGCACCAGATTTTCTTCTTTACCAGATTATTCTCATTAGCATTCCAAAAGGCTGTCATTTCTCTTCTTCCAGATACTGCCTTTTTCCAACTCTTTCCTCCAAAGACTTGGCCGTGCAAACTGTCTCCAATTTCTTTCTTCTCATTTTCTCTTGAACTCATTCTGATCAGATTTTTGCCCTTGCTGTTCTATGGACACTGCTTTTATCTAGTTCACCAATGACCCCCACATCTCTAGATCCAGTGGTCCATTTTCATTCCAGTTGACAACAGTTGACAACTGATCAGTTTCTCCTCTGTGTAACATTTCTTCTTTTGGATTCCAGGACAACACCACTCTCCTGATTTTCCTCCTTCTCTGACCAATCCTTTCTGTCTTCTTTTCTGGTTCTTCCTCATCTCACCAACTTCTTAATGTTGGAGTGCTTCCCATCTTAGTGCTTGGGTTTCTCTATCCCCGCACACCTGGTGTCTATTCTGTCACAGTCTGAGGGCTTTTAACACCATCCTTATGGCGATGACCACATTTATGCCTCTAGTACTGACCTCTGTCTTCCACGTTACAGGGTCTTCTATCCAGTTGTCCACCTGTCATCTCTGCTTTGTTGCCTGGTAGGCATCTCAGACTTGGCACATGCACAGTGGAACTCCTAAAGCTTCTGCAATCAAGGCAGTGTCTAATGACAAATAGGTCCCGGAATGGAATAGAGCTTTTAGAAGTAGACCCAACTTTATGGTCACTTGATTTTCAACAAAGGTATCAAAGCACTCCAACTGGGCAAAGGGAAGTCTTTGGGGTTAAAAGAATTATGGCTGGAGAATAAGTTGAAAGACATCAAATAGTAGCCAAACTGAGCTACTATTATTATGACGATGACTAATACTTGTGCCTTCCTCAATACATGCTAGGCTGGGTGTTCAGTGGTTCACATGAATTATTTCATTCAAGTCTCACAACAGTCTTACAAGTAAGACTTTCCGATGAGAAAACTGAGGCACAAACGTCAAGTAACTTCCTGTTATGACTTGTGAGCATATCTTCCCAGGCAATTATATATGAACAATGATGTGGGAAAAGAACATAACAATGTGTCCACTTCATCTAGCCAGGCTCATGGTAATGGGTGACTTGAACCCTAGTGCTAACTCACCAGTGCTCACCCAGTAGGGAGAGAGCACAGAATCCCTGGCTTCTATCTTGGAGATTCAGCCTTAGGTCCTCCAGTGGCCACTCTGGCCACTGATACAGTTTTAGTAAAAGGTCCCACCTTGTTCACATTGATACCAACCCTCCCTCTCCTCCCCCCAGCATAGGTACCCAGGCCGAATGGCACCTTCTAGAAGGATGAGAAGAGGAGAGACCTCAGGAAGATGGAACGTTTAACTCTTTGTTCTATGCAGCACCATAAGCACAGGAAGGCAGAATTGTATACGTTTTCAGAGAGCAGAGTTAGGCAGGTGGGGATCTGATCCCAGGCCCACCACTGACCATGTGGTCTTGACCTTAGCCTCTTTTATCTATAAATTGGGTGTAAGATATTTCTTTTTTTAAATGTTTATTTATTTGTGAGATAGAAGCATGAGTCGGGGAGAGGCAGAGAGAGAGGGAGAGAGAGAATCCCAAGCAGCCTCCACACTGTCAGTGCAGAGCCAACATGGGGCTCAAACCCATAAGTTGTGAGATCATGATCTGAGCCAAAACCGAGAGCCAGACGCTTAAACCGACTGAGCTACCCAGGTGCCCTTGGTGTAAGATATTTCTTGATGTGAAGTTATTTTGAAGTACCAGTCATCTATATCTATATATCTATATCTATATCTATATCTATATCTATATCTATATCTATATCTATATCTATATCTATATCTATCTATATGTAGAAAAGTGCACAGATTATACAGTTTGACAAATTTCCACAGTGGTACACATTACTTAACAAAACTCCAGAAGCCCTCCTGCTAGGTACCACCTCACCCCATGCCCAAAAGTAATCCCCATCCAAATTTCTAATTGTGGTTTTAACTGGCTTGGAACTTTATATAAATGAAAATATACAGAATATATCTTTTGGGAGTGCGTGGGTGGCTCAGTGGTTAAGCATCTGACTTCGGCTCAGGTCATAATCTCACAGCTTGTGGGTTCAAGCTCAGTGTCCGGCTCTGTGCTGACAGCTCAGAGCCTGGAGCCTCCTTCCGGCTCCGTGTCTTCCTCTCTCTCTGCCCCTCCCCCACCCGTGCTCACTCTGTCTCTTCTCTCTCAAAAATAAACATTAAAAAAATTTTTTTTTTAGTTTGGACTCTGTCTCCCTCTCTCTCTGCCCCTCTCCTGCTCATGCTCTGTCTGTCCCTCTCTCTCAAAAATAAATAAACGTTAAAAAAATTTTTTTAAATTATCTTTTGTGTTTGGTTTCTTTTGTTTGTCATGTTTATGAAGATTCATCTATGCCATTCGGTATAGTTATAGTTTTAAAATTCTCCTTATGTAATAGAATTTCAGTGTGTAAACATACTACAACTTAGTGACCCATTCTATTGTTGGTGGGCATTTGGATTATTTCCGGTTTTGGGCTTTTATAAATGAAGCAGCTCTGAAAATGTGCACAGGTCTTCCGGTGGACAGAGACACAGTCATTTGGAGTGGGATTGCTAGGTTATACTGTATGAATCTCTCTCAGCTTTCTAGAACTTGCCCAACATTTAAAATTTTTTATTTATTTTTATTTTTTAATAAAGTTTTTAAAGTTTATGTGTTTTTGAGAGAGACAGAGACAGCATGAGTTGGGGAGGGGCAGAGAGAGAGGGAGAGAGAGAGAATCCCAAGCAGGCTCTGTGCTGTCAGCACAGTGCCTGATGCGTGGCTCGAACCCACAAAACCATGAGATCATGCCCTCAGCCCAAACCCAAGAATGGAATGCCCAACCGATTGAGCCAGCCAGGTGCACCTTAGAACTTGCCCAACATTTTAATGAACATTTTTAACCTTGCAGTAAAGTAAGGTTTAAATTAGGTTGTGGAAAGCACTCAGTATGGTTTTTGGCAGATAGAGAGAGCACATTCCATTAAGTTAAAGTGCCATAATGGACTTTACCATTTCCCTATTGCGTGTTCATTTAGATCATTTTCATTGTCTTGTTATTTTATGTAATGTCACAGTGAATGACTCTTTATAGATGTTTCTTTCTTTTGAAAAATTTGCTTTGTGGGGTGCCTGGGTGGCGCAGTCGGTTAAGCGTCCAACTTCAGCCAGGTCACGATCTCGCAGTCCGTGAGTTCGAGCCCCGCGTCGGGCTCTGGGCTGATGGCTCAGAGCCTGGAGCCTGTTTCCGATTCTGTGTCTCCCTCTCTCTCTGCCCCTCCCCCGTTCATGCTCTGTCTCTCTCTGTCCCAAAAATAAATAAACGTTGAAAAAAAAAAAAAGAAAGAAAAATTTGCTTTGAGTAAATTCTTAGGTAGGTTCAACTGGATCAGAAGATATGTGACTGTAGAAACTGTCACCCTTAAAAGGACTCTGAGGGTCTGCTGAGGAGGGGAACATGAGGAAGCAAGCCTCTTACACCATGGCCCTGGGGGTGGGCAGGATATGAAGACAGGTCGCTTATGGCTTTCATGGAGTGTCTCGTAGAGGACAAGAAGGTCAGGTAGAATGTGGGATGATGATTTTTATACGTGGTGGTGATTTTATAGCAACTGGGTGTTTAGTTGCTTAGAAATAAACTGGGTAATTGGAAAAAAAACAAACAAACTATACCAACCATTAACAGAGGAGGAAGAAGGAAATCACTGGTGCAAAGATTCACTTTATTTATTCATTTCCCCCCAAATATTATTAGCATGATTAAAGCCAAAGAGGGGGAGGCAGTAAGGTGGGGACAAGGGCCTGCAATAGGTGTGGGTCTCCGATGGGGAAAGGTCCGGAGGCCTGAGGAGGGAGACAGAGAGTCTGGGACTGAGGCGCAGGTGATGAGGCCTGCTAGGCTACTCTCTCTGACACTCGCTCCTGTTGAAACTCTTGACGAGGGTGGAGGCCAGGCTCTTGTGAGTGACCTCGCAGGAGTACTTTTCATGACTTTGGTACTCCGTACTGGACATCGTCAGGGTGCTGCTGAGGCTGTAGGTGCTGTCTTTGCTGTTCTGCTCTGTGGTGCTCTCCTGGATGCCTTTGTTTTGGACAACGCCATCCACTTTCCACTTGACATTGACCTCTTTGGGGTAGAAGTCATTCAACATGCACACGATAGAGGCACTTCCTGTATGTAACTCGTCCAGAGATGGTTGGAAGAGAAAGACAGATGGCTGAGCATCACTCCCTGAGGAAGGAAGCACAGAGAATGGTTGTTAAGTAACAGGGAAGTTCTCCATTTGGGCATATTGTTTGTGGGCAATCCCGGAGCCCGTAAGGGAGACAGAGCAATTTATTCTGTGTAGCAGTGAGGGACACCAGGAAGCAGATTTATAATCTCCATGATTTTGAGTGTTTCTGTAGCCCCTATCTCTTAAGAAAATTTTACACTGTTTTGTTTGAACTCTTTGCAGCCATTTTAAGGGCTTTTTTGCTTTTCTGACCTCACCTTCTTTCCTTCAGCTGTGTTCCCTGCCCCCTGCCTTACACCCAGTACTTTAGGCAAAGAAACAAAGGCCATTTAGTCTGACTCCCTCAAAGTTTAGAACAGAAAACAGGTCTTGGACCCCCTTACAGAGATCATTCCTCCGTGCCTCTCCCAGAACTGTGTAGCAATATCGGGCTGCTTTTTCCTTCCTGGGTTTTCTTTGAGTGTGTGAGAGCCAGACCCCCCCCCCTATAGAGTGACTTTGAGCCCCGAGTCTGTGCCTGGGCTGAGGCACAGCCCTATTACCTTCTGTGATCAGGCTAGCAACTGTCCCACCTCCTTACAAAGGCCTTGAAGGAAGACTGAGCCCTCGTCTGACAGCTGTCATGATATGGGGCGATAACAGACCAGACAATGGGGGTCAACTGTAATTTTGGCCACCTGCCTACAAGGAACTAGCTAGCTTCGGTTCTGACCATGAGCAGCTGCCAGATGGCGTCTGGGAAATCCCCCCCGTGGGCATTCAAGCTGTCTGGTCAGAGAGCAAGGGCTAAAATAACAAATCAAGAATCCTTTGCTGGGAGAAGACTGCAGATAAGTGAACAGGTTTTTATAAAGCTAACCTCCATTAACGAAGCATTTCAAAGTAAGATACTGAACTTTCTATGTTTTGATTTTTTTTTCTCTTTTCACCTTCATCACTAATTTTTTTCTGAGAATTTTATAAAATAGCATTGGCCGCAAAATAGTGTGAATTCTAGAAAAAAAGGAAGGGAAGTATTCTAGAAAGATACTCCTAGCCGGGTGACTCCTTGATGCCTTTAAAATATCCATCCTGCATTCAAATATTAAACGATTAGCACATTGATATGGAAAGTCTTACAAGACATTTTATTAGCTTTTAATGGAGTTTAAACTTCTAAAATAGGTTTTTAAAAGGCCCTAAAATAGTTTTAAAAAGCTACATAGTTTAAATAGTTCTAAAATAGTTCTCAGAGTTTTAAAACAGCTCTAAAATAGTCCTATAAAACTGTTGCAGACCAAAAATAATCTTTCATAAGCATCACTTTTGAAATTAGCTGAAGTAAACAACAAAAAATTACTAAACTATTTTAGAGGGTATGGAATTAAAATACTCAGATTAAAAATTTTCTACCACAGAATGAAAGTATTGGAAAATATATTTATATCAAGTTTTTATTAATGGCATTTGCCTATGATTAGATATTTCATACAACTGAAAAATAGTCCTTCCCAAGCCATTAATTTTTTGAAAATTAAAAACATGTCACAAATTTATTTTTTTATCTGATGGTATTTAATGTGAACTCAGTAAAAGTTAATTGACTAAAACTGGAATGGCCAGATGGCCTTAAATTCAGTTTTTGCTGGTAAGGATTTTACTCGGAAAGAATGATATATATTTCTTTCTTTAGGATTGTACTTTTATTATTTAAATATATTTGATGAGAGGATATTGAAATCATTACATGTCACTGAAAACAAAAGTAGCTGTAACTTTTTTACAGTCCTCTAATGGAAATTTTCGTATAAAAATGACTGAATTTTATTTCTGAAATTTCTAATAAATCAGACTTCTCCCTGTTTCTTCTACGTTAGCTCAGTGCCCACTACATTTCTATTCTTTTTCGTTAGTGCCATTATTCGTATCACTGTGTCGGGAGAGCCGCCACAGTAGAGTTGAACAGGCGAACAAACGTGGAGTGGCCGTGGCCTTTAGTGGCTAGGCGCACTGCCACACGAGTGCTGTGGCCTGATCACGAAAGTTATTCAGTCATGACAAAAGACCGCCATGAGGTCTATAGACCACGCAAGATGTGCCATGGCTTCCTTGACGGTATAAAGTGGCCAAGTAGTAACGGAGGGAAATAAAAGAACACACTCACTAAAAATATTTACTATTTTTCTACAAGTCCATGGGCATTCAAACATGCAATTATTTTATTTTACTTAATTTAAACGAATGTTTTCAAAACTGAGATTTTCGCGATAACCATCTTTTCACCATTACAATAAGAAATCATCTCATGTTTAGTCTAATATAGAAATTGGATTTTTACAAAGAAGGTAGCTATCAGGATATAGAGCTTCTGTAGAATTTTTGAATATTAACAGTTTATCACTCGTCTTAGGCTCCAAAGATAGCATTGCAGCTGATTCTCAATTAAGCTGCAGGTTTTACATGGCAAACAACTACGCTTTTCTAACTTCTTACCAATTTTTCATGCATTCTATGGATTTTAATTGTTATCTTATAAAATTATTTATCAGGAGAGAAAACAGACTAAGAAATAAATTTCTGTATCACACAGAACAAGCAAAACTCACTATAACATCTGGTAAAACTCAGCGAAAATTAGTTCACTTTTTCTCTCGAGCTTCAAAGATTCCTTTTCATCTACACTAATTTTTTTTTTTCCTTTTGAACAATGAAATTTAGATTAAATTAATCTTTTTGTCTAGAAATCCATTTTTGGAGCTGAGTTTAACTTTTGAAATTGATGACAAATCTGAAATGGTCTCATGTACCCGTCCGCACAAAATTCATACTTCAGTCTCTGAAAGTCATCACTGATATTTAGACCCAAATTTCAACAGGCAACAGAGAAAAATTACTTACGTTTAATCTCCAGATGTGTCCCTTGGCCAAAGGTGGTCCACTGTATTAACTTGATTACTTTTCCCTCAACAAAAACCTCTTTTTGCTGCTAAGCTCATTAGACTGATGGATACAGAGAAAATCTGGCAATTTAGATGCCACGCCAACTAACTGTCTCTTTGCTCTTCCTTGAGACAAATTGATTTTCAGTCCCTTACTCATCTGATTTTCAGAAGAATCCCGGGCTCTTCAGAATTGACCTCAATTCACACTCCACACGTGAAAACCCCCAAATTTCACAACGCTACCAGAAAAAGGACTAAAAAGTGTACTTACGTTTGATCTCCAGCTTGGTACCTGGGCCGAAAGTGAGCCACACTGAGGGCTTTGACACTTTAGCCCTCAACAAAAACCTCCTTCTGACGCTGATCATATAAGAAAGTCCAATTCAGAGAAAAATCCAGCTGTCTTTCCCCTTCTCCCCACAAAGCCTACTCTCATCACAAACTCAACGATTTGTTTGCTTAGCTGAAAAGTTGGCTCTTTTCTCATTTTCTGCTGTTTTCTTTTGGGGCACCAGGAGTGGCTCATTTTACCAAAATGTCACAAACTTGAACAAATATTACAACAGGACGAAAACCTCACACATAATTGAACAAAAAGGTACTTACGTTTCATCTCCAGTTTGGTCCCCTGGCCGAAAGTGAACCACAGTGATTTCCCTTAACCTCCACCTCTATGAAAACCCGCCCTGAAACGGTAGTCTCTCTCCCCAGTGACCCTATTTTGATTTGGAAATCTTAAAAACCAGCGGTCAGCTAGCCTCCAGTGCAATGATTTTCCCTCCTCTGTACCTGGTCTGGGGGTGAGATTTGTTTTATCCCTGACATGTAATTAATTAGAACACGTGAAAAGGCAGGGGGGTGGGGGGAGAAAAAGCAAACCAATTAGACAAAAACAGTGAAGAATTAGTTGAAAAAAATACTTACGTTTTATCTCCAGCTTCGTCCCCTGGCCGAAATTGTACACACAGTAGTTCCTCCTAATCTCCTTCCTATACAAAAACTGAATTTCCTTTTCTGACAACTGAGCGAGGCTCTGTGTAGAACATATAATTACGCTCCCCCATAGATTTCTGAAACTATCACTTAGACAAGTTATTCTCACCCACTGACTGAATCCCGTTCCTCACAGAAAGTGTGTAATCCACTTTTGAGTTTGTTTATAGACTTTATCTTTGCCTTAGAGGATGTCAGATCCTGGTCGCAAAACGTCAGCTTATACAGATCGCTTCATAGACCCGGGAATCACAAGACACAAACAACCGAAGAAGGAAGGTTTGGGTTTTACTCACGTTTGATTTCCAGCTTGGTTCCTTGGCCAAACGTCCACCACAGTGATAGCTCCCCATTGTGTCAATGTACAAAAACCCTTCTCACTAAAGGGGGCCAGAGGCCCTGGGTCAGCTGCTGAAGCTTTACTCTGTTTTCCAGCAGGTGTCGAACCCTCAGGGCTTCCCTGATAGAGAATGTTTTTTAGGTAAGATCTAAAATCTTGGAAGAGGATATATTTGTGTCTACGGGCTGATGATCCCTTTCTTTTTTTAAATTTTTTTTTTCAACGTTTATTTATTTTGGGGACAGAGAGAGACAGAGCATGAACGGGGGAGGGGCAGAGAGAGAGGGAGACACAGAATCGGAAACAGGCTCCAGGCTCCGAGCCATCAGCCCAGAGCCCGACGCGGGGCTCGAACTCACGGACCGCGAGATCGTGACCTGGCTGAAGTCGGACGCTTAACCGACTGCGCCACCCAGGCACCCCTGATGACCCCTTTCTTTAGCCATCTACCCTATCTGGACTCCCTATGTATTTATTTGAAGGTAGGCTGAATGGAAATGACAAAGAAAACAAGTAAGTTTTAAAATTTTCACTCTTTTATACCTTCTCCTGGGGCAGGGGGCTTTTGCAAGTGATAAAGCGCATTCAGTAGAATTATGGGATTCTAGTTTCTCTCCGTTAAGGATAATTAAAGAGTGTCTTCGTATTTGACCTCTCCTTTGCCATGACGTTTCAAAAACGGTAGACTAAATGCATATCAGATCAGATCAAGGCCCATGTTTTACTTTGAAACATATTTTGGCATCAAGCTGTAGAGGACATCTGAGCCCAAAACAAAGATCAAAGATCAATAGAGCAGAAAGTAGACTTTACTTAGTTGATCGTCTGTTGTCAAAGGGGTACCCACCACGTTCAATGAGATGAACCATGTACAGAATGTCTTTGGAGCTGCCGGGGAATTGTGCCATGCCATGGTGTTTCCGTGGTAACCCCATCAAAGTGTGTGTGTGTGTGTGTGTGTGTGTGTGTGTGTGTGTGTGAGATTTTGAGAGACAGCGTGAGGGAGGGGCAGAGAGAGAGGGAGAGAGAGAATTCCAAGCAGGCTCTGTACTGTCAGTGCAGAGCCCAATGAATTTTTTCAAAACTCAGTTCAAGAGAGACCTTCTC